TGTTAATTTTAGTCCTAATATCAGACTATGTTTTTTATACGATATCATTAACTTGTTAATAAAAGATCCTAATCCGTCGCCCGGTGGCTCAGCGGTAAGCTTAAGGGCTTGTAACACTAAAATATGAAGTTCAATCCCAGCGGCAGGCACAGTTCAGGTAGATCATTATGTAGCTAAAAAATATCCAGATATCTCTAAACCTTCTTTAACTGTTGTTCACGTTTAAATAATAACAGTAACCCTCCACTGGCTCAGCGATAAGTCTGAAGGCTTATAACGCTAAAGACCGGGTTTCTATACCTGTGGTGGGCACGGAACAGGTAGCCCATTGTGTAGCTTTGTGCTTAACAACAAACACACAAACTGAATAATAGTAATTCTCTTGAAATTAACTGAAAGGCACAAACAAGTTTATGTGTTTAGCCTAAATAGATTTTTTTTAAATAAACATTAATTCTGACTACTTGAAGTAACTATATTCTGCATTCATAAACAATTTGTATAATGAACTTTAAATTATTTTTAACCACTGTCTGGACAAAACCCGATAATCTGCGTGTAAAAAAACACTTATTCTTTCTCGGTCAAGTTTAAAAAGAGACAAAAAGATTTTCAACCTAGAAACAATGAGCAAAAGCGTAAAATTTCAACTAAGTTAAAACACAAAATCGAGTTCTTACTTTCTAACATAACATAATGAAAGATCCCATCTGTTAAATGTAGCACATTTCTGACATCAGGACCCAGGAATGAAGTTTATGACAGAAGTTTTCACGGTGAAATGAGTTGATTGAAAGAGGCTGGTACTATTGAGCGTCTCTTTTTACACCGATAACACTGAATTATGAATACAGGTAGACAGGCGAGTGCTCAGGAGCTGTGTCGTAGGCACTCAGTAAAGGAAAACAAGGATTTCGGCCTCAGTTGGTAGATGCATGCGGTTAAAAGGGGAAATTAAAAGACAGTGTAGCATTGCATATCTTCTAAGCATTAGTACATCTGACAAGAGCTCAGATTATGTTGAAAAGCCGGCCATTACGGTGTAAATAGAGGGCGTTTTAAGAAACATTGATGTCAAAATTTAGCTGAAATATTTGCTTCCTGAGAATATATTGCTTATAAAAATGCTATAAACCTTTCAATGTAAAAAAAAAAACTACTGCGTGGATATAATTTTGCTTTTCCCTTTGTTATTGTTGTGAGCCATTTCCTTGAAATCACTGTTATTGTTGCTTGAGTATAATGTTGCACCTGCTTTTGTTTCTTGATAAGTTGATGCCTTTGGTCTGGATGGCATGGTCAGGTGATTAGGGCGCTCGACTCGCAATTCTGAAGGTCGCGGGTTCTAATCCCCGTCCCATCTAACTTGATCACCCTTTCAGCCGTGTGGGCGTTATAATGTGACGGTCAATCCCACTATTCGTTGGTAAAAGAGTAGCCCAAGAGTTGGCGGTGGGTGGTGATGACTAGGTACCTTCCCTCTACCCTTTCACTGCTAATTTAAAAACAACTAGTGCTTGGCGCGAAATTCAAGCTTTCGGTCCTTTTCTTGTTGCTTCTAAAATGCTACTTCTTTCTTTTATATTATTGGTAAAAGTATTTATTCCTCCTTTGTTATTATATATTGGTAAATCGTTGCTTAAAAGGTTCCATCTGCCTTTGCTCTTGTTTATTGGCAAAATTGTGATTCTGCCTTTGTTACTTAATTCAGTGTTGATTTCTTTTTCGTTATTGCCACTTAGTTAGTGTTTTTTGCCTTCGCCTTTGTTGTTGTTGCTCGGCGAACTATCTACTCTTCTTGTGTTGTTGTTGCTTTGTAAATCATCTCTTCTTCTTCCTGTATTGTCATTGTTTGATAAAGCATCTCTTCTTCATGTGTTGTCGTTGTTTGATAAAGCATCTCTTCTTCCTGTGTTGTCGTTGTTTGATAAAGCATCTATTCTTCATGTGTTGTCGTTGCTTGGTAAATCATCTCTTCTTCCTGTATTGTCGTTGTTTGATAAATCATTTCTTCTTCCTGTGTTGTTGTTGCTTTGTAAATCATTTCTTCTTCCTATATTGTTGTTGTTTGATAAAGCACCTCTTCTTCCTGTGTTGTTGTTGCTTGGTAAATCATCTCTTCTTCCTGTATTGTCGTTGCTTGGTAAATCATCTCTTCTTCCTGTATTGTCGTTGTTTGATAAATCATTTCTTCTTCCTGTGTTGTTGTTGCTTTGTAAATCATTTCTTCTTCCTATATTGTCGATGTTTGATAAAGTATCTCTTCTTCCTGTGTTGTCGTTGCTTGGTAAATCATCTCTTCTTCCTGTATTGTCGTTGTTTGGTAAAATGTTGCCTCCGTCTTTTTTTTTTCTTGCTGTTTAGCAAAGTATTGATTTCTAATTTGTTGTAATTACTTAAATTTAGTGCTGGATCCGCCTTGATTTCCTGCTGTTTCTAGTAAAATGTTGCTTCTTTCTTTCTTGTTGTCGCTTGGTAAAATGTGACTTTCTGTTTTGTTATTGTTTCTTTGTAAACTGTTCCCGCCAACTTTTTACTCGTTGTTTGGCAAACAAAGCATGCACAAGCACAAATCTAATATTTTTTGTTTTTTATATCTGTCATAGGTATTAAAGAAAATCACAAATGGATGGTGTGTGTGTATAAATTTTAGTTTCAGTTACTTCTAATATATAATACCCCAACATTTTTAAGTCAAGAACGAAAAAAAAACATAATTAAGCTTAAAAAACAAAATTTTGTCACTTTTTATTAACTATACTGGGACTGATTAAGTTTTAAATTTAAATAATCGTAGCGAATGTACTACAACTAAATGATACAGAAGAGCAAAAATGTACGCTATAAATAATGTAATCTGTAATAAATGTTTTTCCATAAAAGTTTGTACAGTTTGAAAGATGTAATTACAAAAACTTAAGACGTCTTAGAGGATGTTTCCGTTTAATAGCTTAATTGTAAGGTACTTGTTTCTGTTTTCTCGGTAGGTTTTTCGTTATTTATTGCTAATAAACACTAGTACTTTAGTACTTCTGCTCTCCTGAATATTTCTGAAAGAACTGGTTTAAAATGTTACTCTCATTCTGTAAACAAAAACCATGTCTGTAAACATCATGTTTATGGAGAAGCTCAGCTTTCAGAGAGCTAGTTGAGTATTATTAACAGCAAAAAGTTACGAACCCTGAAACAATAAATCCACTTTTCTTACCTAAGGCGGAGTTGTTCATCTCAAACACAATGATAAGAAACTTAATGGAGAAGTTGAAAAGCCGATAACAGGAATCATGATTGACATTTCAAAAGTTAGATCGTCTAGTTGATAACAGAGGGCGCCCACCGTCTACTCAAATATGTTAATTAAATATGATGCCGAGAGGCTTCTTTGTTTGAACGGTCGGTGGTTTCAAACAGCAAGTGAGACATCACTTGGTTTTGTTTTGGGTTTTCATTTTCTTGCACGTCACAGTGTAAGACATAATAATGTACCTTAGAAAAAACACAACTCTGTTCCTATGTTCAAAAGATGCGAAAATAGCCTAGTTCAACTTATAATTATTTCCATCAGCATTAACACAGACGAAATATTTTCTTCCTTCACTCTCAGTTAACCTCTAACAAAATACATTCAACGAAAATATCCACTGGAAAAGAAAAGCATATTAGTATTTTCAACCTGAACGGCAGACACCTTATGTGCTAAACAGCTATACAGTTTTTATAGACGACCCTCATTTTGAACTGTTGACAAGAGATAAGACAACTAATCATTAGTATCCACCGCCATAAGGACTTTGTAACAAATAACGAAATTAAATCTCATTTTCATGATTCGCAGCCGAAAGTGTAGAGTACGTTCAGCGGCATCAAAGCCCGAACCTGGATCATTCCATCGATAGGTCTTCAACTTAACCTTTGGGCCACACACAGCCCAAAAAGAAAATAACAGACTAAAAAAATAACTTTACTATCTCTTTCACTCCTGCTTTTTTTCCTTTTTTTCGGTTTAACTTTTATTTGGGTCAAGGTTTATTAAAACACACAAAATAACATTTCATATTATTCCGGTAAATTTATAGGTATCATCTACAATGTTCACTATGGTATCTAATTAATATCTGGATTATTTTTCTTTCTCTTGAACATCTAAAATAATAAATTATGAGTGTACTCTGTCAAAATATATTTATTATAAGAACAAGAATATCACAAGAAGTTTTGTTTGTAACTAAGCACAAAGCTACACAATGGGCTATCTATGCTTTGCCCATCACGGGTATCGAAACCCGCTTTTTAGCGTTGTCAGTTCGCACACATACCTCTGCGCCACTGGATGACATCACAAAAAGATGTCGGGCTCAGTTTTTTAATAAAACAATACATCGCAATCTAACTATATCAAAACTTAAGTTTTTAGCTTTATGCTCAGGTTTAATTTCTCCTTACACCAACAACAATATTAAAATATTAAACAGAGTTTGATAAAGCAATTTAATAACTTTGTTAATAGTTGTGACTCATAAACAGGAAACAATAGCACATTCCTGTTTATATATTAAACTGTTCTGTATAGACTGTAACGTATGTTTCATGAACCTATTAAAACTACAGGCCAACCTTTAAGATAGATGAATAACTTCAAATTTAAACTACATTAGAATTATAAACAATTTGCATTTTAATTTTATACGCGTCATATATTGTATAAAACCCGGTTTTGGTTGGTGGTTATTTTCTTAATGCAAAGTTACAAAACCAGTTATCTGCACTCTGTCCACTCCAGGAAATCGAACCCCGGATTTTAGCATTGTAAGTCTGTAAGTTTACCGCTGGCCCTTTTGGGGACATAATAACTGATAAAACTAGAAATAAAAAACATACTGGCAAAATGATAAACTGGAGTAGATCAGAAACAGTGTTAAATAAAGTAACCTTCCCTTCAGTAGCACTAACAGTTAGATTCAAATAGAGACTGCTGATGATTGAATTATTTTTTACATCAGGATCAAACGGTCAAGTGAAGGAACTTTTGTTTCCAAAAGGATTAGACTTGGATAGACCAAAACGTGCAAGAACCACCTTTTCTTCTGCTCAACTTCAAAGTTTGGAAGAGGAATTTCGAAATAATCAGTACCTTGTGGGAAAAGAGAGGACAAAGCTAGCACAAAGGCTTGGTCTTTCCGAAACACAGGTAGTTCGTTATAGATTACATGTATAAGGTTTTAATTTGTGTATTAAGCAGAAACAATATATAATATTGCTGAAGAGTAAGCAGGAAAACTGTAGGCGAAAAGTCTATGTTTAGTCATGATGTGTAGACGTAGGTAAGGAATAGCTCTAGTACTTCAAACATTATTTTTAAAAAGTAAATATTCATAGACGAAAACATTACACATAGAAAAAATATTCTGTTCATATTTATGCATATAAGGACTTCCTTCACATACGCTTTTAATTTTATAAATCTATAAGTCGGGTTTCGATATAATAGTGTTACGTCTCTGGTCGTTTGTTAATTTCCCGTAAAAAATTCTTCCCGAGGAACTTCAGCGATACAAGTTCTTTCTTAAATAAAACTAGTTTATTCTTCCTCAATACAACTTTGCAAAACACAGAATTTCCACAGTCACTTTAACTTAAACACACGCTATAATTCACAATGATTTACACACTACACTTACGGCTTGACTCGATTATCCCGTTATCAATTTATCTGCCCGCTTATATACTAAACTAGAGGGCGTCTAGCAAACGCTGGGACGTTCGTGAGGTTCTCCGATCCTTCTAGAATCTCATCGCGTGTTACCAGGGTCACGTGACTTCCGCTGTCGTAACAATAGAAACGGTAACTATATATACATATATGTATATATATATATATTACAAACTTATTTTCTTTTTTACCAAAGGTAATATTGAAAATATCATCTGTGCCCTAATTCTGATTATGATCACACACAAAAGTTGTAATGATTTTCAAACGAGACCCAAAACTCGAGCGCTTTCGAATAGTTCACTACTCTTCTTCAAAAAACCATTACAATCTGTGCCATAATATTATTCACACAACTAAATCAATTTAAGTTACTTTATGGTCAAGTAAAAAGGACTCAAAAACCCCAGAG